GGACCGAATTTCTTGTAGTAAACACCGTTTATTTTATCCTTGCTTGCATAAACAGCTATTCTGCATTTACTCACCAGTTCATCCTTTTCACGTTAGCCTTGAAACAAAAATAAACCGATAACTGCACTGGATTAAAGGTTAATAGGTTATTTGTGGAAAATATCGCCAATCCTTTATGCCACGTTCATTGTGTTTATTTCCAGTTTAAGGAAGTGAGGAAAGTTTTACTTCGTTATTTATTAGTGCAAATCAATAAAGAAATATAAATGATTAATGAACATGTAAACAGTGCATGATTTTATTTATATTAAAAGCTTTACGGAAGTAAATACTGCAGCAATAACATATACCTAAGTAACATTTATCTACTTCCGTAGTTTTGTGCATTTATGGTTATCATGTGTTGTTTCCTGTTCCTTTTCACCTGCATTTTTGTGTATTATTTTGTATATTATTATCAGCAGTAGCAGTGGTGGTATGTCTGCTATTGGTTGTAGATTGTGTAATACAAAAAATCAGTCCATTTCATTCTTCTTGTACGAGACACTATTTTTCTAAGATACACCATCTCTTAAATGTGTTATGTGCAATGTGACGTACACTATCATAGTTTAGGTATATGCAATATGTAAATAAATATCAACTTGAAAATGATAACAGCCACTCAGGAACTTAACACACATATGTTTGTCAGCCCATTATATGCAGTTTGCCTGAAATGCTGTTAAATGTTGACCCTGAAGTTTTTCTTTTGTGCTGTCGTTTTGTAAGACAGAATCACTAGAGAAACAGGTGCTAGAATGAGGCTGCTGGGCCACCAGCTAAGGGCAGCCCCTGAGGCGGACCCCCCTTTCTCACCTGCATAGCTTCTACCACCTACTGTTTGGACAAATACCAGGTATCTTAATAAAAGGAGACTGTCACACCTAATGCAGTGACCGGGGATGATGCAGATGGCAAGCGGATCTGAATGGGAAAATCATTTTAGGAAAGATTGCACATATAATTCTAAGTAGCTTAAGACCGATTTAAAATAACGGAAACACAAATCTTACAAATTCTTCTCCCGGTCTAGGTTGTGGGTGAACCTGGAACCCATCCCAAGAAGTCACAAATTACGCACAGCAAATTCAAATATATCATCCACATTCATTTTTTTTTAAAAGCACTACCTGAAAAAATAGTATTCTCCTTGAATTACCGTACTTGTATAGGTTAGTGTATAAAAATACTTCAGGTTAATTGCCTAAAAATGTGGCATGAGAGGAAAAACTAGGTTCAGAAGAGTCCACAGCCTTTAGTGGGTGGTAAAGTGCAGGCCTTCCTGTGAACCACATGGTGTGCGCATGTGACCTCATCTGCATTTTCTCTGTGCATTGCAGGTCTCCAAGGTCCTACATGCTCTTGTATATAACTGAATATACAATGGTTACATTTTAATGCTGCAAAATAAGGTTCTCAGTGAAGCTGCTCCATTTTGTTTGGCCAATTTTATGATGTCATTCAATAAAGAGAAAAACAATTTACATCAGCCAGTTGTTTGATGTATTTAATTCCCAGTTGTAGGTTCTTAAATACAAAGTTACAAAGGACATTTTCAAATGATACTGGTGACAAACAGTAATTTCTTGATAATGTTTAAGAGCTTTATGTTGCTCTAATCAATCATCTAATTGTGTTTTTGTTTATATAATGTGTTAATGCTTGCTGTTCCTTGCCGAATGGCCTCCTCTCGTTTGTAAATTTCTTATGTTCTTATGTTCTTGTGGTTTAATTTTTAATTTCAAGTTCTAGTCATAATTTAGAACATTTAAAGTGTAAAATGTAGGAAAAAATGTAAGGAATTGAAGAAAGCTTATGAAAGAGGAAAGGCAGAAGGAAGCTATAGTCCTTGTTCTGTCTCAGTTTAGTGTAACATCAGTGCAGCAGACTTCACCGTGGATGCGATCCCTCCTGGATCCAGCTGGGGGATTTGTTTGATTTAGAAACTGCAATATTGGGTTGTACATGTAATCCATGCCTGTCTCCATAGCCCCTTCTCCAAACTGTTATCTAATTGTGCATTTAGGAAGTTTAATCATGTGCTTATGAACAAGTGTGTTTGTATCCGGCGTCACGTTTCTGTGAAGTTACTGTGCTCTGCCAGTGTTTGTTTGGAACCCTCCACCTTCCTATCACAGTCCAAATGCGGGTAGATCTTCAGATTCAGACCAGCGGCTGCCTCCTCTGTCCCGGAAATGCTAGTAGTTTGTTTGTTCAAGGCACCGTTTTGTGTCACACCCTTTTTCACGATTTTATGCGATATCATAAAATATAACTGAAACTTCTCCACGCCTCGATTGCAAGCCGTTCACTCGTGTCTGCCAATCTGGATCGCTCACTATAAACAAAGCTGAACTGCAGATCTGCTGCACCTAACAGAACCCCATTCCCACATAATAGCTGAGCAGAAATACTGAGCCTAGCTCAGCTTTAAATTCAAAAGTACTTGGTTAATGACAAACAAAATGAATGATCCACATAAGAACAAATGGCAGTTTCATGGTAACATTCACATCGTCCTTTATAACTCAGAAAACCAAAGCTCTATTTCTTCTATGTTTCATTGCACAATAATGAATGGAAGAATCAGGGTTGAGGAACCTCATGTTAGATGGTATGATGGTGGAGCAGTCCAGGAAAATAATCAATAGGCTGAGAGATAATGAAACATGGATTCTCAGTCATGGATTTACCAGATATACTAGCCTGAGGAAGCGTCTCACATCCTATAGCCCACGCTGGTCTGTTCGATAGGACTTCCTGTTCCTGGAGGTGTTTCCAGTGTCTGCTACAGTCTTTGCCCTCCATGTTTGTTCCCAGGGGTCCAAGCTATAACCTCTAATGTAAGCATGCATTTCTTCTGCAACAGTGGAGCACAATAGCAACCTGTTTATTCCTTAGATGGTTCAGATTACTGAACAGGTAGAGAGGAGCAAATCCTGCGATGCAGCAGGAACAGTTCTTCTGTCTGTATATGTGTGCTTATTTATTTTTTGTTTTCGGACACGTCAGGGAGGAATGACGCAAACTATCATCTGCTCCTAACACAATTCCTCACTCCGTCTTCACTATCCCCATCAGAAGTGGTACCAGCCAGGGACTGTCATCTTTGTTGTCACTGGTAGCCCCTGTTTTAGCCACCCTACCATGCTCTCCACCCCATGACAGTGATCATCCCACTGGCTGTAGTCGCACCGTACATATATATGGCCAGGCGATGGACCTGTGACGTCACCAGTATCACATATTCACGGCCAGTCTCCTTTGTCAGGATCCGTTTGTGCAGACCAAAGAGACTGGTGTCGAGAGACAGCTAGGGGCAGCGGCAACATGTACGCATGCGGACACGTATGACATCAGTATGTGCTGCACGTCTGACGCATGCGGTTTCTCTAGCTGATGTCACATCATGTGATCAGCCTTGTATAGCCTATTTTTAAAGAACAGAAAACAGGTAATGTGATTTTATTAAATGTAGCCCCACCTCTCATGTAAAAGAAAATATGACACCAATTAATCATCAGTGTAATTTTATGTATCCGGCAAATTGCTGCCAAATTGGACATTTTCTAAAATATATATCTACAATTTGGATAATTAAGCTTGCAATGCGTGGTGTATTTTAAAACATGTCCCAATTTGACAAAAAACAGTGAGGAGATCAGGTTTTGAGTTCTTTTTTTTTTTTTAATATTAACGTACATTTGGAATTTGCACTTGCAGCGAGTTAACTGCCCCTTTTAGTTACCACATGGATCAGGTCAGCAGGCTGTCACAATGTGCAAATAAACAAACATTTCAAAAGAAATTATTCAAATGTCCTCGACAGCCCATGAGATGGGTAGGATAATGCTCGGTGCATATTTTTGATTTAATGCTCATGATTTATTAAAGCATTCCATTTAATTTGAACTCTCTAGATAGAGCTGTGCATGCTTACTGTGCTGGGTGAGGGTCACTGGAGGATCGCAGCGGGGACGACCAGTTTCGGGAGTGACAGCTCGACCGGAGAGCACGGCGTGTGTAAAATCTGCTGTGAGGTGCTGAATGCCTACAGATGCAATACAGGACGTGTTAGGGCCAGGTCACATGCAATTTGTCCTGAGCAGCTTACATGCCACGGCGAGGGCGTGTAAGAGGTGCTCAGATACAGCTGGATTACATTACAGCTTTTCGCATCGGTAATGGTGGCTTTGCAGGCACTGCAGACCCACATGGAAAGATAAACGCCTGCCACAGCATACTGCAGTGCTGGCAAATTCAGCGCAGGCTGCCGTGTACAACGAAAGGGCTGAGAACAGAAGATATTTCGCTCTTCCTGCTCCCGTCCTTCACAGCCAGCACCACCACCTCCGGGCACCCCGATGTCGCCATAATACGAGGGGTAGGGGGGGGGGTGCTCTTGGGAGTTCTTGTCCTGCATCACTGACGTGAGCCTGTGGGTGGTACGGACTGAGCGTCACAAAAACCAGGTGCAGGCTGGGATATTGTTGTGCAGGGGGGGGGGGGGGGGGGGGGGGGGCCGGGGGGGGGGCAGGGCGTGAGCGGTCTGAGGCAGGTTTATCTGTGCTCGCTTCGGCCTCCCTCCCTATCCCTCTCTGTCAGGGCCTGTGACGGGTCAGAGTCCCGATCTGGTGGCGGATTGAATTGCAAATCTCTTGCCTTCTGTTGCTGTCCACGACCGAAGTGGCCAAATCCTGGCATTCATGTGGTAATGGAAAGTTGGGAGGGGGTGTGCATGTGTGTGTGTGGGGGGGGGGGAGAGGGCGGTCAGGGGGGCAGCAGGACACCAAAATGGGCCTGAAGTCCATGGGAAACAGTTGTGGCCAGAACAAAATCCCTCACCAAGGCCTGGGAACCTCTAAGTCAGACCGGGATCGCTGCAAAATTCCTCACCAATGTCTGCTAGAATGTCACAAGGACTCACACTCAGAAAGTGACTAGAGTGACCTCAAGCATTTTCAAGCTTTTGTGATAATATTCTTTCTTATTGATTACAAAATAACACGGGAGCTATTTAAGGATACAACCTCAACCACTTAAAGTATGGCTTTACCTTTTAAATATATAAACAGAAGAGATTGCAGTCTGTAGATTCTTCTGCAGTTTAACCAGGTTCTCTCTTGGAATCACCAGAATCAGACGTAAAAGTTCAGTGGCAGTTCTCACCATACAGGTTGCTCCACCTCTCCGTGCCACCTGTTATACACCTAGTGTTCCGTGGAGATGGCCCAGTGTCTGCAGCACGCAGCCATGGCAACCACAAGAGGAAAGGGAAGGGGGGGGGGCTGTTCCCGTTAAGCAATACACAACTATTGCAACAGGGCAGATTGAAATGTGGATTCATCGTACCAAGCCAAGGGCAACTAGGGGCAGACAACCTAGTGATTCTCACAACAGAGTATTAAACCAGTAGTACCTGTCACTCAGTTATTCTGCATCCACTAAGCTCATTGTGTAAACCAAGTATGACAACTAATCCTTCCAGAACTCCGGAAAAATTGAATAATCTAAAAGTAAACATAAATAAATTCACCGGCACACTGGGGTCCATTAGGTACCATCAGCTGGTGAAACACTGTTCAGCTTCAACATACGGAGTCATCATGAACATCATCAACACGGGTTTATGATACACAATTGTACATCTCGAGGAGAAACTCGGGGGATCAAATTACATCAAGTTCTTTAAGATAAAATCAAAAGAAGGGATTGTGCAAAAATGAGCGCTTACTATCGCTTACCAGACACGTAACAAATAATTGAAAAGCGTTTCCATAGCAGCTCCAAAGTTGAGGCAGTTCTTTAAAAAGGAATTAAAAAAAATAAGAGATAAATACGTAAAAATCAATTACTCTCAGCCCCTGTACAAAGGCAAAGGCACTTGTAGTCTCTCTACTCTGCAATACTCCTCTTTCTTGTCAATTTATTCCTGTCTAATTTGTAGCATTAAGTTGGATTGTAGTCCGAACAGAAAACTGCAGAACTTTTGTGCAGTGTGATCGGTTCAGAGTTTTTCATAGAAAACACTGCCATTTACTGGTGTGGAGGAAAACTATAGAAATTGAGAAATGGACGCATCACTGGCAAACCGAATCACCTGTTTTGATAGCATGCATTTTGCGTCCAACATAAGAAACCAAAGTGGACTATAGAAAAAATACACTTTAAACATAACTGACTGATAAGCCATATTAGCACTTAAGACAAAAAGGTTTGATTATTTCCAGTTGTTTCTATAAAAATTGCAGACCACACTGTGGTACCATGGTGTAACGCAGCTTCAGTCACCGCATGCAACTGCGGTGCTCCGAGTCTGACAGCAGCCCCCCGCTTGTCACAGGGCAACAGGAGGATGCCGGGCCAGTTTCTGGGCACATGGTGTGGATGGGCGATGCAGACGGCACCAAACAGGCACTCAGTCCAGCCTCCAGGCTCCAGATGCCAGACATCTCCGTTAGAGCCTGGTGAGCTTTTATGGATCGCCATAACACCCACCCTCTGAGCCTGGGGGACATGCCCCCCCCCCCCCCACCTCCGAAAAAAATTCAGGCTCAAAGGAAGAGGTTGACTTTGGCTATGACCGACTTGCAGCCAGTGCTGGAGAAATGCTGGCCATCATGTACGGTATAGCTGACTGCACGTCCCACCGCTTCAGCTACATCGGCGCGCTGGCACGCCCCGCGCTGGCACAGCTCTCGCCGGGCACAGCGCTCCACATGGTGCCGGCTCAGAGGCAGAAAGGGCACATAGAAGGTGATGAGCTTCGCTGGGATGATCTGCGACTGATAGAATCCACCTAGAAAACAGTACGCTGTATCAGGGCAGAGAAAGCACGTGTCCTTAACGCATCACCTGCTTCATGCAATGCGGCAGTCAGGAAGCAGTGGCTTCAGGGTGCCACCTGCAGGAGGTCTTGTGGTACTACAGTTTATTTAACTGCAAGACTTTCATGATGCACGTAAGACTCATGTAACTTTCTTGCAAACAGTACAAAAGAAGTCAGTGAGACCACATGGTCTTGCCAAAGAGACACACCTCGCTTCCTTCAGGTTAGCAAAACACGCGTACATCATTATCATCAGCAATCAAAAATCTCATTCACGACTGCAATTTTGCAGCTTAGACGAGCACATGCAGACGAGCCCCTCAGGCTAAACGGCGGAATTATGGGGCAGCCTTCTGGAGATCAGGGCACTGGCCAGCACGCGCGCAATCTGGGCCGTGCGACGGGAGCCCAGGCAGACGCGGCTCTTACTGTTCGGGTTGTTAAACACAGCTTGTGCGAGGGAAGCTTCCAGATCCCTAAGGCGGATGTCGTCCCGATCCTGCCCCTTTAGCTTGGTCTTAAGGGTCAGCTGGTTGATGATCTCCTCCCCAGTCGTGCTGCAAGCACACATGACTGGTCAGCTCCACCAGTTAACTTTACTCTCGTCTAATAATTTATTATTTAGTACAACAGGATTCTTATAACAGTGTGCTAAGTGAATGAGTTTATAATAATCACAACTTAACTGCAATATGTAATATTACTAAAGGGGGTTCGGCAGTGTGATGTGGTTGTTTTTTACATCATATGCATGACAGAGACAAGTGAAGGAACTGAAGTTCAACATACACTGATGTGACACATAGAGGCTGATTTCATGTGCAATAATGATACTATTCATAATGTGCAATATATGTTTAACACACTGATGTGCAGCATTGCTAACACAATACAGATTCTAAAGACTTAAACACTTCACACTAGCACTCTTACAGTCACTCGTGGTCACTTTGTCAATAGTACACGTTATTTATTGTTAGTTATTTGTTGTTTACTGTTTACTTAATGCCAGTTATTGTAATGTTGCACTGCTTTGTTACTTGTCTTGTCTGTGAAAAAGGCATTCAAGTAAGAATTTCATTGTACTCTCTAAACTGTACTTTGTACATATGACAAAAAGTTTGAATCCTTGACTGTATAATGCAAAATAACTATTTTAAAGATTTAAATGATGAGAACTGGCTTTGTAGGAATAGCAAGGGTCTGATGGGTGATGTTTGTGAGCTGGTGCCCCGCCTGCTTTCTCAGGACTGATGGGGAACCTGTACTGGTTTCCACAGGACAACATGGGAGGGCTGCTCAGCTGTGGTTTATAACTGGGGACATGGGGAGGTGTCAGACATGGCGCCGTACCTCATGAAGATGTACATGGCCTTGCGGTAGTTGGTCTGGAACAGGACATGGTCGGGTCCCAGAAAAGGCACCAGCACGTCGATCACGCCAGGGGGCATGTTCTCCATCTCATCAAAGATGAAAATGGAGCGAGCACAAGCGGTGAGGTTACCCTCTACCCAGCGCCTCAGCTCCATCTGGGGGGGGGAGGAGGAGCAAGAGAAGGTAAATGCAAGCAGAAAAAGGAGAAGTAAGAAAGTTTTTGGCTGCACACAATAACATATCATTGAGACATCGCAGATCTCCTGGTCAGAGAATGACATCGCAGCCGAAGACTTGCACAATGTTTGTTTGCTGATCAGAACTGAGAATGTGATAAGCCTAGCAGGCTCATATAAACCCCCAATGCGTTGGACGGGGAGGCAAGAAAGAATTACATGCAAGACTAAAGGCTGGCACATAATATTACCTTATACTGATGTGCCATGTCAGCCTTAGGAAAGTGCAAGGTGGGGATGAACTGGTGAATGTAGGGGCTGCCCATTGCTGCGCCATACAGGTGACGGCCCACCATGGAGCTGACCAGCGTCTTGCCTGTCCCAGAGGCCCCGTGGAAGGACAGCACCAGTGGCCGGTCGGGGCTCTCCATCTGCAAGAAGCCAGCCACAGCCTCCGAGACCACCTCCTGCGCCAGGTGCTGCCCGTACAAATTTTTGTAGAGGTCCCATTCTAAACCTGAACAGACACAGACATCATTAACCTTTCGTATCTACTGCAGGGCTGCCAACTTTGGTCAGCTGGCTGGAGTGAGATTTTCAATGGAAGTTTACAATGGAACAATATAGATTTGCCGTAGGATATCTTGGTGAGGGTGAGAGTCGGAAAGGCGGAGTGTCACGCCAGATGCGTGAGAGTTGGCAACCTCGCTCCTGATGGAACACAAATTTCTCTCTAGGATCAATAGAGCAGGGGAATCCCAACTAGAATTTAAAGAGGTCCAGTTAGAAAAAATTTATTGAAGCAAAAGTCCGGAAGATCATAATGTCTAACTTTTTAGTGTGATATATGTTTAAGTAGCCTATTAGTTGTATCAACATTGCATGTGATCAGTACCTGACTGTCAAATCAAATTAATTCAGTACAATTCAAAAAACGTTTTGACAATATTTATTGTCACGTGACACAGAACTTCGGCCAACTGGCTGGCGTGAGATTTTCAATTCGCGATGTCTGCACACACATGTAACAGTTATTACCCTGTAAATAATCTGCTTTTGTATCTAACCATGTAAATACACTTTTGACGCAAGTAATGTTAGGTTTTATAATGGAATAATATAGATTTACCGTAAGATTTCCACCGTGAGTCTGAAAGTATGAGTGTCATGCCAGATGCTTGAGATTTGGCAGCAATGAAAACGTACATTTTTTGCTTCACCTGAGTTTATTTATATAACAGATAACATTACTTTATACATATGTTAAAAAGCAGAAACTTAAACGAACATGAAATCCACAATAAACTACGTCTATTTATCCAACATGTTATATAACACATAGGCCTACTGTATTTGAAAATTTTTCAGCTTTACGATTTCAGGACAGAGCAGCCACTCTGTTAGGAACATTACGGCTTTCTGGTTGCGGATGTTAGCTTCGCTGCTGTTATTAAGTAGCCATTCTCTTAGGAACATTACGGCATTTTGGTTGCGGGCGTTAGCCACGCTGCTGTTATTGAGCAGCCACTCTCTTAGGAACATTACGGCTTTTTGGTTGCGGGTGTTAGCTTCGCTGCTGCTATTAACACTAATGGCACATTAGCGCAGACAAAGGGCTGCAAAAGCCAAAGCAGGTCTTGCTTGGAGGTTAAAGGTGTTTGACGTTCATAGGCGTGGGAAACGGCGGCTCTACTGCTAAACAACTACCGAAAAGACTACAAACGCTGCGCCGATTAAAATAGAAGCGTCCCGTCAGGTTTTAAATAATAACTTAATGTTTTGGCTATTGGTCCGGGTCTGTACGGGACAGCTTCTGGGTCCGGAGCCGGACCGCGGTCCTCCTGTTAGTGACCTCTTGCTATAGACAATCCCGATTAAAACCGCATGATCTTAACGACGCATGCAAGCTCGCTTAAATATGTTCATGATGCGAATTTTCTCTCTGAAATATGTTTTGCAAAACAAATTAAAAATAAATACCCAAACGAAAAATTCACCACATTCAAATTCCACAAGGTTATCAAGATTAGATGATAACGCAGAACGCCACGTCAATGACTTTAAGTACACTTTTTGACCCTAGCCTGATGGTGACATCATAAATACACACACACACACATACATACATATATATATATATATAGTTTCGGTAAAACAGCTTTTACATTTTAAATAAATCGAAGCGCATCAAGTCACCCTATCCAGGCTGTGGCTGCATCGACAATCGACTCTTTGTCAGTACAGTACATTGTCTCGTTCTGTTTTTCTTACCTTTTATATCTGGATTAAAGTCACAGTCGCAATTGTTCGACATTGTGCAGTAAACTGATTTCATATTCATTTGAATAGCATACACCACCGAAAAAGGACTACAGGAAAGTACCAAAAATAAAACTAGCATGAAAGGTGCATTAACGGAGCGCGCCATAGCAAGCGCACCGTAAACAGCTTCCTCACGTGAAACCGCGGGCCACTAGAAGTTGCTGTAGTCTTTATTGAGGTCAAATTCAAACAACATGCCCTGAAGGGGGCCTAAAATAACAACAACACCCACAATGCATCTAGCAATCTAGCTATCCGTCAGCAAAAAGCGGAACTATGGGAACTATACCACTATACCACTGAGGGGCGCACAAGAACACCTGTAAAAACGGCATTGAACTGTTACAATGTCATAAATCCATATTTATGCACACGGAAATTTAAATTTAATTTCATATTTTAATCTAATTTCGACGTAACTTTTTTGCATTCTATGATTAATGTTTCGGGGCAAATAATATGTATGGGAAACTCAGTTTAATATATAGCAAATATCCAAATATTTATTTATTTATTTATTTATTTATTTATTTATTTATATTGTCCACATGCTTGACTCAGCATTGCACATCTCCTGTAAAAAAAAATCCTTGTATGTTTACTTTTAGATGTTTATTTGTATGTGTGTTTTGTTTATGTCATGATACCAACCGCGCCAAAAGAAATTCCTTGTACTTGTCTGTACTTGGATGAATAAACAAAGATTCTGATTCTGACTATCATGTAACATCAGGTCATTGCAAAAGGGCTTATAGGAGTATTCATACCTTCAGTACTGTGCAAAGTCTCCCCCTGGCTCAGAGGAATGCCACCTGTATAATCCGGAGACTTTGGCTCTTGGCACATTTAGGGCTGAAGTTCACTGATCTGATCATTCTCACCCCACACTACTGGAGCACAGCCCTGGTTCTCGGCAGTCAAAAATATTTTTTGACTGGCGAATAGTGTTGGTATATCAGTCCTCAGATAAAGCTCTCAGATGAACTATGATAGATTCATATACTGTATAAGATGTTCAAAGAAATATTCCGAAACCTTTTATCTGAATGATTCTCACACGAACAGTTAAGTTCCAAGGTCATGCACATCCCATGTAGCAGCTCACAATTCCTGATTAGAATGTAAGGCCACAATTAATAGTTTCTGCTTCAGGTAAAATGCAAATGTTTAATTTAGAGTAAAATGCTGAATATACAGTGTAAATGTAGGGCAGTCTAAAAGACAATAGAGATAATGAAATCAACTCTAAGAATCTGTTTTTCTTTTAATTATCTAACTGTAGTTAGGTATTATCTTGTTGATTAGGTTATTTAAAATAATATCTGATTCAATAAAAGGCATTTGTTGAGCTACTTCAAAATGACATAGCATTGTTTTTGTAATCATATTATTATCCTATTCAAAGTGTTATTAACAAATCAAAATTCAAAATTTCGGAAATATCAGTGTTGGTTTTCCTTGCTTCATCATAGTGGAAGACGTTAAACTGTGCTGGGTTTGTGCTAAATGTGATGGGTGACTATTATTTGTCTGATTTTTAAAACCAGCACATTTTAGAACATTTCTCAGTTTAATACACAGGTCTGGTTTGGGCAGTTCTCATTTCTCACCTGAGGTAAACTTTATCAAACTGTTGCTGATTTTACTGCAGCATCGTCATAAAAAATGTTCTGCCGACTAGTTCTGTTACAGAGTAGATGTGCGATAGACAGCCTGAACGACAGAGTTCTATTCCATAGATTGTGGTCACACATTGTGGTTTATTTTCTGTACCTGTCTCCTGATGTGTGATTTTCAGCGATCTGGATCCTTGACTTGGCTTTGATCATGTATCGGTCCTCATAGTATGCAGAAGTGAAAGGCTCAGGTCCAGAAAGTACAAATCCTAAGCAAGATTTTGTTCTAACCAACCAGTTAGGCATTAAGAGCCACAGTCACAGAGTACTCAACTGGCTGGTTGGAACAAAATCATTGTCTAGATTGTTACTTTCTGGACCTGAAATTTCCACCTCTGATAGTATGTAAATTAAATCCATTTTCTGGAAATAAACAGAGAAATGGCAATCTACATTGTGAAATAATGAGGGGCAAAAACAGTAATTTCAACAGGTAAAGGTCATTCAGCTAATTATGTAGGTAATTAAGTTAATTAGTACACATTTTTACACATAATTTTGTAAACATTTTATGCATAATTTTACTTTTGTAACAGCAAATTGATTAATACACTAACATGACTGTTCCATTATTTTTTAATATAATAGTAGGCAGCGAATGCAGCAATGGAAAGCATTAATGTGCATTAATCTACTAAAAAACTGGACCTAGAATCATGAGTAAAAAAAAAATATATGTATATAAAGTAAACCAAGAATAATATAAAATCTCCCTGGTTGAAATCTGATGACATGATGAGTCCATGAACAATAAGATTAATGGAGACTGCATGCGTGCAAAGGTTAACCAAGAAGAAACATCTGATGTTAAAAAATAACACTGTCTGTATTAGGGTTTCCAGGGACAACTAGATTCTGTAAGATTTCTGTAAGTCTCTGGCAAGATGAGTCCTTTGAGTCACAATCAAAAGTGCGATGTTCAACAAACCAATACTATAAACTACCAAAATAACCTTATAATCCTTATAAACCTTATAATCATCCGTGGGAGTGGGGAGTATCATAGTCTGGAGTTGCTTCTGTTGGATCTGGAGAAATCCTTCGTAGGGGTTATAGAGAATTCTTGAACTGAACAAGCTAAAGTTGCGAGCTGGACGAAGCATCAGTTCTTACAAGACAATGATTTATGGATTTCTGGGAGTTGAAACAAAGATTGACCCTAGAACCACAAATAAGGGATATTGTGTTTTGATTGAGTCAATATCCAGATGTAAATCTACACGTTATTGATTAACATGTTGTTAGCGCACAAGAATAGTTTCTGCTAAGTTGACAATCTAAACATATTTTGTTAGTATTGGCCCTTTATTTTCAACATCTAAGAAACGAGGTATAAAAATAAGGATATGCATTATTAGGTTTTAATAATATATGAAAGTGATAAAGCCTCTATTAGGGCTGACATATTTTCAGGCATCATCATGTTACCATATATCCTGTATCTACACCATTAGTTTCAAACTGGCATAGCATAATCATTCCAATAGCAGGTCCAATATTGTGAAACTTTTGTGAAGATAAGGGACGTGATTACCACTGCTACTTTAGTCTGCCAGTTTGTACATCATGTTATATTTATTTAATGATAAAACCAAGGGATTGTATTGAATGACATGTAAACCTGACAAATAAAAAACATATATTCCAGAAATTAATGCTCAGATCATTTAATATAATTCTTATAAAAACAATGTCCACACAAAAAGGGAGATTAATGTCTGTATTTCAGTACAACGTTTTTTTTCTCTTCAGCAATTTACAAAAGAAAACTTCACAGCAATAAAATTAAATACAAACTTCAGCAGACAAGTAAGCATATTTATAAGACAAAATTCTTTACACGGAAACCTCACGCCTGCACATAACCATGTAGACAACGAGCTTGCTGGCAGACCTCCTCAGCTATTTGTAAAATTTAAAAGTATGGTAGTATGTGACTTTAACCAAAGAGACTACCGGTGTGTAATTCGCGTAGTGTTTTTCGTGGGATGGAGGGACAGCATTCTTGTCTCGTTGCAGTATGTTACATCCATTATCTACCACACTGTCCTTCAGGACACAGTGGGGCCACAGCAGATGTGCAGACAGCTTCCTGTCCCCATTTTGCTTTGGGTTGCTGTGACAGGTCCAAATTTAAAGTGACACAGCACCAGTTGTGCCACAGTAGGACGCCTGTCAACAGTGAACTCTGCTTATGGGCATGTTTTCGGTGAAGGCCATCAACGTGGTCAGATGAGGCGACATCACCCGACTTCCCTCGACTGATCCTGGTTGCTCAAGCTGCTGGGTGGAGCTGAGCAGACAGAAACTCGCAAATTTTGTTAGACACAAGTCACTCCCTAGAACATTCCAGTAGCTGTAGGGCTACATAAATCTATATAGCTGCCCTGAAACTACCTCTGTGGGCTAACCATAAAAAAGTCACACGACCCCCTCATCACCCACAACCCTTTATTTTAAGAATGCAGTAAACATATGTTTTACAAAACAAACCATTTTAGTAGCAGCTGGAAGGGCTAAATACATAGAACTGCATAGCTTGGTTTTTCAGGAAATAAATTCACGATGAGTGACATTGTAGGTGTAGCCGAATTTTCACTGCCAAAAACGATCAAATTGGTTATGGGTATAAGTGCTTCTCGCTTAAGTGCTTCAACTGGGTGGGAGTTATTAATCAGTGCTGCCCTGAACCAGTAATGTTACACTGAGCTTCTGGACGACAATCTGACATTGTAACTGATACTGTATACCGACACACCTCTTTTGGACTGACTTCACCATACATTTTCCACGGGATGTTGTCTTTGCACTGCGCCTCTGTCCTAGGTGTAGTTGAACGCTGACACCACCCAATTTCCTTATTTGGACAAACATTACCAATCTTTCCACACACTGATTGGAGGGTTACGTTGCTCATCCCATTTCGTGGGACATACTTATTTCAGGTTCTTTCCACCCTTTGCCCACCAGGGGGCTCCAGCTTGTAGGACAGGGCTGTCAGGACCTTGTCAAATTTCTGGTAACGCTCTGTCTGGCTTGCCACCACTCCCCGGCTGCCCCACAGCAAACGCATCTGGAACTCCGTAAGGAAGATCTCCAGCAGCTCCGGCCGCTCCTGAAACCCTGTCGGGGAAAAGGACCTTGAGCTTTATGTGATACAGACAGTCATCTTTAGACAGACGGCTCACTGTTTCTACGTTCTTCCTTTGCCGTACCCTGCAGCTTGGTCTGGGCGTTGCTGCAGTAGACTTCCCCGTGTTGTGCCATTGTACGTGCTGTTTCCAGGTGACTCATTACCACGTCCACTCCCATGTCTGTGTACTCCCAAAGCTCCGCCTCCTCGCCCACAGCCACTCCCCTCTCCAGCAGAGACAGCAGCGGCACCACGTGAGGGAAGGTGGTGTCAGAGGGCATGCACTCTTCTGAAGGACAAGGACAGGAAACAGCTGTGTGGTTTGGCTTCCGCTGAGGCAAGTCTTTCTCACAATGATACTGAGAACAAAACGAACTGTGATGGAGAGCTACCTAGACTGCCTTCATTCATGCTCTTTAGGTAAGGTTTGAGTTTCTTTTCATACAGGATAGCTCCCTCTGTGTGCTTCTGCCGGAGTGTTATCCAAGTCTGCTCCAACCTCTTGACCTGGAAAAGGAAGCACATTGAGTTTACACAAGTCCTCGCGTATCACAGTCAAGCTCTCATGAACCTGTTAGTCATCACAGATCAGGGATACTGGACGAATGAATTCACGCATGTCGGCTGACGACCTCCATCTGATTCCGCCATTGCTCCCTCTCCACAACAGCCCCCCCCCGGTGGCAGGTACCTGGCGTAGCTCCAGCGCTCTCATGATCGTGGCAAAGCCGAACATGTTGCCCTGGCTGCTCTTGAGCTCGGAGGCCAGCAGGATAGCCTTGAAGAGAAAAGCAGCCCTCTCTTCCCGGCTCCCAGTGCAGCCTAGCAGTTCAGCTGCCATCATAAATGACATGGTGTGGAATCTGAGGGGCAGGGGTAAAGATCGAGGCTGAGGCGGGAAAGAGTTGTGTGTGTGGGGGGGGAGATCACCACAGGTGGCTGCTCAGCTCAGCCTCACTGTGAAAAGGGGACAATTCAATTCAACACAACAATGGACTATCACAACCTCTGCAAGAATTGTGGGTATTCTTCCATAGAAGAACCTAGTCACTCTTCTATTGTACCAATCAGCAATTAAATATTAATTGCAACAGTTAAATTATCCAACTGTATAAATAAGTAACAGCTAACATTGTAATGTTTCACATTTGATAAAAACATCTATGAAGCATATATATATTTTATTTGCCATGTGCATAACTTTTGGTTTTGCATATGCAGTCTTACTTTTCATGAGAGACACAGTTTTGGGGACAGAATGGAGAATCAGGGTTATTGGTCTTGCTTAAGGGCCCAGCAGTGACACAATAACTCTGCAGCCACAAAGTTTAAACCTATAGCTTCCCAAGCATGGGCACAGCGCAATGAAGTGGTACTGCTTTATCGGGCTATTAGTATGGAGCAACCTGGCAGTTGCATGATACAGAAGTTCATTATTCTTTTATTCATTGTGTCAGACCAATTGTACACGGATTTCAGTGTAAGCAGTGTTACTCAGTAGTGTACAAGATTTGAATCTTTAATGTTTTGCTCACAACCCCCATCTTCTTCCAAGGTCTCACCTTTCCCACAAGTCCAGGCGGAGCTGTTGTCCATGTGGGAGAGTCAGCAGCTCCAGACCAGAACTCACTGCCATCTTCTGCCGCATCTCCTCAGAAACGTTCAGTATCCTAGCAACCTGCAGTCCAGATCAGGGCCGTGATGGCAAAAAGGTGAGCTCATTTAAATTTACTGTCGAAAGCACAACGCACTCCCTGGCTTGATACACATTCAGTTATTCATTAGCATAGTAGCTCTTTGCTGCCCAGGACTGGTGACCCTGTTGACTGACTGCAGTAGAACAGTGGTTTTGTAAGAGGCGATTTTGAGCCGGAATCCTAATCCCAGCTCAAATTTTGGTCTAAAAATAGACTTAAAAGATCCTGGTTTACTGAGCTGTTTCCCCCTTTACAAAGTAAGTCTTTATAATGAACACCTGCAAAAACCACTAATCAAATTAGCAAAGCTACAATCCCGAATTGTACAAGAGATTAACAAACGGGATTAAATTAGTAGCTAAAATAATTTGAAGAATCTGAAAAATACTAGCATCAGTTAGCATGAGAAAACTATAAATTGTTTTGTGCTATATGGTGGGGAGAGATGACCTGATATAAACTAGGACAATAAAAATAGAAAGAGGCTGGAATATGAAATTACAGTGTCCTCTGCCAAGAAGGAAGTCTATAGGCCTTTGCTTATACAGTCCTTCAATAAATACATAGGCGCATAATGTACAGTACCAGTCTAAAGTCATAACAAACATACTAGAAATCAAAAGACAATGACCCTAAGCAGACCTCGAGGTTACGTAAGTACTGTATTATCTGATGAATAAGCAAGGAGATGGAGTGCTGTGACAGATGACCTGGCCCCTACAATCCCCCGACCTAAACCCTATAAAGATGGCTTGGGATGAGTTGGGTTGAACAGTAACAGCAAGGCAGCCAATCTGTGCCCAGAATCAGTGGAAACTCCTTCAGGATGTTGGAGAAGTGTTCCAGGTGGCTCCATGTGGAAGCTGGTTAAAAGAATGTCAAGAGTCTGCGATGCTGTAGCAAGGGGGCTATTTTGAAGAGTCTAAAATTTGAGATTCTGAACACTCCTCTTGGTCATTGCGATATTTGATATATATTACTTACTTCATTGCCTTTTGCTATAAGATGAATAACAAAGCTAAAACAGAGACAATTGCATTAAACACAGGTGTGTCCCAATGTTTGACTTATCATAAGTATGTGAATGTATGTGTGAGAAACTGTAGGCACCGGTGATCTGGGGGAAGCCGAGGCTTGTCTGAGTGGGGGGGCTTGTGCCTTAGTGATGTGGGTGCCCCTACCATGCAGTCTGCCTTGGTGATGTGCCAGGCGGCGGTCCTGGCATCGACTTCGGTCAGCAGCTCCTTCACCCTCTTCAGGATGCTTGCCTCCAGAGGTTTGTTCTCTGCGGGCATCAGCAGTGACCTGTACTGTCCGGGTTTGAAGGACGACTCCTTCTCCACCAGCGGGACACTGAAGACCCCTCTGCTATGCTCCAGCACGTCATAGCCCTCCTCATAGCCTTCACTGGGTAGGACAGGTGCTTTGGAAGGGTGGGGCTTGGAGATCTTTAGGGAGGAGTAGGGACTGGCTACGGGCCCTGGGCAGAGTCTGTGCTGGCTGGAGCAATGCGAGTCCGGCGACTGGGGCGAGGCGTTGAACAACTTACTGGCAGATGGACTTCTATGGTGGGAGACTACAAGTTCACAGAAAATACACACGAGGAAAGATCAGAATCAAGCAAATCTGAAACATCAAACAAAACCAGGAGATGTGCTGAAGCGGTGTTACCGAGTTCTTTGTGACTGTGTCAGGTGTGGATAACTGAGAATATCACTGTGCTTTTAAGGCACACGTATTTTCAGGCTACAGGACTCACTGGTATTGTAGGCCGTAGAGGGAACATACTCTCCAAGAGGTGACAGTGGAGATCGTATCATCTGGATCTGATCCATGCTGCTGGATAGTCTGTAGAGACACGTTACTGCTTATGATTAGATTGACTCGTCTGTGAAAAACATATAACCTGACAGAAAGTGATGAGACTGTCACTAGCCTACCCATAGTGCCCAATAGGGGGCAGCAGACTTATTAGTTGCTCTTCTCACCTGTGAGGCATGGCCAGCAGTGTCCTGGGCCTGTCATCCAGGGCGACACCTTGCTTCTGGATAAACGTTCTCCTCAAGCTAGATAAGGGGCTGACTGGGTCTTGCTTGAGGGTCACGGTGAAGGCTGCCTCCAGAATGCGCAGGGGAAGGGTCCGGTTGATGGGGCAGTAGATGTGTGCACCGCTCTCCTGTGACAGGGGCTTTTGACTTCCCACATAGAAGTGGATGAGGGCAGCTACGGAGTCAAAGCTCTCCCTCCCCAGCTGGTACTGGACCCGAGGGCGAAAGGTGCCGGACTCCTCCAGAACTTTGCCAATGACGAAGTGCAGAACCTTGTGGTTCCAGCGGCTGGTCAGTACATAGTCCCCCATGCTTGTGAGTGAGTCCCGTATCAGGAAGTCTCCATTCCGTAGGACCAGCGTCTCTGACACCTGTCAGGCCACCCAAGAGAAACCAGATGATCAAATCCAGGGCACCCAGTGAGAAGATGATGTAAAACAATACAGATAAATATAGGTGGCGTCATTTTTGTGAAGAAAGACAGCAATGGTGGCTCTAGCTGTGACTCAACTATTGTGGCCTACATAGAAGTTAGATATACCCCCTACTCCTGACTTCAAACAATTTAGATTAAGGATTTTATACTGAATTAGACCTACATGCATGTAATCTGATACAGATACGTGAAGGGGATGAGTGGGACTGCTTTTCAACCCGAATACTGCAAATACCAAATACAAATACAGACGCTCCTCTACTTACAAACTTTCAACTTACGAACTTTCAGACATACAAACGAAGAGGACTGTAAGTCCAAATTGTGTTCGTTGGGCTCCCGTTTCCTGTCCGCAACATCAGTTTTTTTTTCTGAGCATCAATACTGCCTAGTATGACTTATTCCCGATACTCCGGCCACATAGCAGTGAAGCATGCGTACTCCCAGCACCATAGATCTTTGTACTTGCATATAGCCTTAAAATGATGTTGAATAACGACTTACGAACATTTCAAGTTACGAACAGCCGTTCTTAATGTAATTCGTTCGTAAGTAGAGGAACGTCTGTATTGAATGCTGGGTGACAGCTTTTGGTCCTTCAATCTCGTAGAACATCAAGGGTTGTAAATGTCTTTTGTTTTTCATTCGTTTGGGTTTGGTTTGGGTTTTTGGCTTAGCTAGGTAGTTAGGTTAGGGCAGTGGTTCCCAAACTTTCTCTGCAGGGCCCCCCTTTTCTAGATAGGAACATATTTAGCCCCCCCCCCCCCCCCCCCCCCCCCCCCCCATTCAAACTACACAGGTTCAGATTCAAACTTTATTTGAAATACAACTCCCTTTTCTAATTGAGCGAAACAAATGCAATTACAAAATACAAATGGTGCAATTTCACCACTGTGGGAGAAAAAAGAGCAATCAATTAAAAATAAAAGTCCAGCATAAGTTCGAAATTATGCAAATGCAGATTTAACATTCCTGTTAATATTCATTGGCGTACACATGCCCCTGAGGCTATCCCATTGGTGCGCCCCCCCTGCAATACCTCTGCACCCCCCTAGGGGGGCACACCCCCCCAGTTTGTGAACCACTGGGTTAGGGTTATACAATTAAGAAGATATGATTTTGCTTACATCGGAAGCTGGTTGTCTATCTGTCATGTCTTGCATGTTTAACCACTACAAAGAAAACTCTTAGCAAAAAGAACTTGTCTTAGCCTTTGCTATATATAAATACAGAAACATTCTGCCATGACTCAACTGTAGATTAAGCCATAGCACTAATAATCCCAGGCGATTAGCGTTACAAGTTACAATGCAGGAAACATCTTCTTCTACCTTTCTCATCATAAATGCTTAAAGGGATATTAGCGGTTCTCTATCTGAAGGGTTTTCTGCCAATGCCGACAAATTCACGGAAACTTAATATCTGCCGATCTTATCAGACAACCGATACGCCGGTCGAACCTTAGTCTACATATACTTCTGTTTATGTTTCCAGAAGACGGATGAGCCAACCTCTCGGGGCATGAGGCCATGGTACCAGCCATGACTGCTCATATCATCGCTGCTCCGCTTCAGTTCCTCCTCTAGCTCCTTCCGAAGCTTCTCAGGTGGGGTGTCAAGCAGGTACCTCTCCTTGGAGAACTGAGGGGTGCAAGGAGACATGCGGAGGTGACACAGTGTCCTGAAAACAGAGCAGCCGTGGGGACGCAGACACACTAACGTCTGTGTGTCTGTTTGGACCCTCAGCATAGACTCAGAGGCGATTTCTCAAGGAAATGGTCATTTCTGATTTAGCCACCCCGGAGAGAGAGCAAGCATGGACAGTCTTGCGGGATCACTGAGGTCATTCCGTCTTTGTCTAGAATACCCTGGACAGTCCAAAGAGACATTGCTACTGTACTTAGATATCTTCAGGGACAACTTGAACTTCATTATCAAAAAACTGACCCCGGTTAACAACCCCCGTCCCCCTGTTTTTAACAACTGTCATCCAAATTACTCTCATCTGTTCACATGACAACCATTTCCATTATATGGAGACTGCACTTCTTTGGAGATCTCCTTGTACCACCTGATCTCTGTCTTCCATGTGCATCCAATCATACTCTTTGGTCTACCCTAGTAATCAGAGTCCAATTCATGTTTAAGGTCCCCTAAACCCTACTCAGTGTATCATCCCTTAAACCCCAAGCTCCAAGATCCCCCCTAAATCCATAATCTACCCAGGGATCATCCCTACTATACAGTACTTTTTGGTCATCATAACTTTTGGGGGAAAAAAACTGTAAACTTTATTTTAAGTCAGAAAAAGGACACAGTTTTACCTACAAGAGCAGAATGTGTAGCACTGAGACACAGTATCAAAGTCACATTAATAATAAATATGATATTGCGCTGCTGTTTATCTGCTGAAACAATGATGTCACTCACTAACATGTGACATCGTGAGGAGGGGCTGTTTCCTTCAGGGGGAATTACCATAACAGAGTGGAAAGCAGTATCTGAGAAACACAGTAAGAATTGAAATACAATAGCAGTGAATGTAATGGTTATAAATAAATATATTTGATAGACTTCAAAAGGACTATTAAATAAATAATGTCTTTTTTTTTTACCTGTGTGGATTTTATTTGTAATAGAAGTTTATGAATAGCACTAGTGACATTAAACTGTTTCGACAGCCAGACTAGCAACACATAATTATTACAAGATCCCATCTTTGAATTTATTACAAACACATGATTGTATATCTAAATCCATTTGGAAGGACTGACTCTCTGGTAGGTTCCAAAAAACGAGGCCATGTGACAGACCTGCGGCAGGCACCCCTGGAGCTGGGGGTTAGGGGCCTTGCTCTAGGGCCCACAGACACGTGACCATTCTTCCAAGGCTGGGGCTTGGACCAGTGATCTTCTGATCACAGGCATGGAGGCTCAGGCCACTACATCAGATACTGCTATCAGCTCCATGATTATTAATGTTTCATAATGAGGAACGATCATCAGTGCAACTGTCATTTAGCCATCAGACAGGCTGTCTGAAGACATCTGGAGGTTGACATGTCCGCCCTTATGACTTTTTCTTCTGTTTAAGTCGGCGCTGAGAGGAGGTGCACTTTGTTGCATGGCTATGTCTGTCAGGCTTTTCTCCTGACACAGCAGTGAATCTTGGATGTGTGTAAGCTGAATAAACAGACGGCTATCACTACTTAGCAAAGGTCGGTGGATGGGCAGGATAAGCAGCTGTGCGGGATAACTGGGCTCACTGGGAATAGTGATTGAAGAGCACAGCTTAAGCTACCTGAGCAGGATAATTTATATCAGATGTGCTATGGAAGCAGTCTACTCTGCGTGACTGAGAACAGGAAATTCCCACTGCATAGGACATGCTATATATAATAAAAGGTCAGCCTGACAGGTTTTGGTGACTGAATTGAGATAGTATATAAACTAAATTGAACCAGGAAAAGTGTCTAAAATCTAACCGACTTAACATTATGAACTATTCCAGCAGAAGTCTACCCTCTGTCAGATGTTCCGCCAATGGAGCTGGGAGATCCAAAGTCCATGATCTGATTGCTTTTGGGAACTACATGCACATCATCACCAGCCATGTTTAGCCTAACCCTACCAGCACAATAGGGGGGTACATCATTGTTTCCATGACGACAGCCAAATGGCTGAGGACTGGAGGGTGAGGGGTCCTTTAAATGGCCTACAAGAGGACACCCTGCAGTGATATTGTCCCAGTGCTATTCAATACCAGAAAGTACTGGGAAAAGGGTGGGCCGTTGTTCCAGGCCTGATCACCTAGCAGACTGATCGATACAGGAGGCCCAGAAAGTGAATAACTTAGAAAGTGGGAAAAGCAGCATCTGAAATGGGAGGAGGAGTGATCTGCAATCCATCACACTTCCAGCACAGCGCTGCGAGTGCAAGTCACAACAACATAAACAACATCTTTAATGCTTTAACTCTTATCATTGTTCATGAAAGGCAATAATCCTGCACTGAATTCCTACAGTACTTTAGCTTAATTTAATGTACTGGCTATGTACATTAGGTAGGTACTGTACTCTGCACCCAAGACGGAGGCTGAATGCTGCATTGTCTACTCTCATCATCATCATCATCATCATCATCATCAATCCATCTATCTCACCCTATTGATTAAATCCTTCCCCAAATTAAGGCTGCATCATTGACACCAGTAAGTGTTCAGAGCATGTGAATTCTGACTATGCTCTCTAAGTCAGAAACACGACTCAGCACAGCTGGCTCCAGAAAAGTCATAATCTGTCAATAAATAAAATGATAAATGAAAAGTTTGTACATATACAATATTAAAATGAACAAAGAGACTCAGAAATGCATCTGAAGCAAACTCAGAGAGGCAGATGGGCGGCTTCAGAGTCAGACACCCTAAGCGTCTCCTATAACAGCCAATTCAGAGACAGGAGAACAGTCTAGTCCTAAGAGATACACATTTTCATCTCAGCCAGAACTAAACAAACTCAGCTAAATCCCAGTCTGAGGCACTGGATTACTGCTAAACTTCCCCACGAGTTGAGTGTCTCTCATTCCAGCCATAAACTTTCAATCCTCAGACAACTTACTTCAGTGTTAAACTTCTCCCAAATGGAAGAGAGTCACCTGATATTACATTTACACCAAAGGGTGTAAATATCTACTAAACATTCTCACACTTGTCTGCATAAACCTAAATACACCGACTCCGCACTTCATTCCTTTAAACAGCAGGTTGAATAAAATGTGCTCCTTTGCATCCAAACATGCTGACAGAGAGCCGCTGGCAGCTGCAGCTCACCTGCACCCGCATGAAGGATCTCCTGTAGACGCAGCAGGAGGCGGCGGTGGACAGGAAGCCCCAGAGGCCGCAGCGCTCCGCCATCGCCCCGGCGCCGCTAAAGCCCTGACTCACTGGCTGCCTCTGCTACAGTCCCGCGCCGCGTCTCCCCAGCCCGCGGCTTCGCCAGCCACCTCGCCGCATCCCTCTCTGCTGGGGGGACATGGGCAGGGAGGGGCGGAGGCAGGCAGATCCGTCCCCCTGCCACCTCCCCAGGCAGCACGTATAACAGACAGCGAAGATGGGAAGTACCTTTAAAGAAGCTGCCACAGCGCCTTGCTCCCGCGACAGTGCCAGCGAGGCAGTAAACGTCCCAGCATGCACTGAATTATTAATAATGCAGACTTTTCTCCAGCTCTTTACCTTCACATAAGTCTAAAAAAGTAACATCGCAGTGTGTGCAAGAAATATGATCCAGAGGTAACGTGTACCCCCGCACCAATATTTAATTTGGCATCATTTGCCCTCCCAAATAATAGTCCTTATTAAGCTGTACCGCACCAAATATCAACACCACTGTGGATGTGTCATATTGCCTTTGGGTAAGGTTTGCCTGAAAGGCATATAGATGACCTGAGAAGATAGATAAGGAGCATCTTAGACTCTGCTTTATCAGATACAGATCTGGGGGGGGCAGGGGCGCTGTTACTGCTAGGCCACTGTCACTGGGTGTCACTGTAAGGCAGGGGTGGCCTAATGGTTATGGGCGTGTACTTTGTAAGATTGCTGGTCTGACTCCCTAACCGGCAAAGTAGCACTAAGGTACCCAGAGCAAGGTGCCCCCCCCCCCAAGCACTGCACCCCGGGCATTGACTTAGCTGCCCCCTGATGTGTCACGATGTGACATATGTGTTAAATGCAGGGGACACATCTCATTGTCATGCACTGTGTGCTATGGTGTATCAACAATGACAACCAATCACTTTCCCTGTTTTACCATTATAGTCAAATAAATAGAATTTGATGCTACATATTGCACACAGCCATTCATTATTTTTACATTTGGTTGAGTATATTACACCGGCAGCCTTGAATTACACAGAGTCATCTTGAATGCTAGAAATTAAATTAAAATTCAAAATGACCCTAAAGGAATATTCACCAGCAATGATTATACATCTGCATAACACAACCAGGTGACTGGAACACAGGGACACGCAGAAACCGACCATCAAACATTTTGATATCTGACAAAATGTCAGATTCTAACAGTAAAATGCCTTGTAGTAGTAATGTAATTTTGATGAATACTGACTACAAACAAACTTTTGTCCAACATCGCCAGTACCGATAACTGGTTTTTCTCTGAACCATTTTCTGACTCAGAAGTTAGCTGGGAGGGGGGACTTGCGTTACTTTTACGTGGAAAATGAAACGTCAATCTGAGGACTAGATTTATAATACATACAAGACTGTCTCCCCGGCCCGTACTTCGATGCCTCTTCTAAGTGGAGTTGTTAACAGTCCTGTATTTTTATGGGGTCTTCCCATATTGTAAAATAAAATGCTGTCCCATTTTGAACTAATGGATATTTTTTTACATCAAAGGTGGCAATCGTACTTCTAAGCGGTGAATGAGCCAATGAAATCTCTCATCTTCCACTACGGAAAATGCCTGATCGTCCAGTGCAATCATCTCCATTATTTTAGTAGTTATGACTTTAGCTCTCGTGCTGTTAATTTTTAATACTGACAAAGTTTAAATGTCAGGTGGTAATATCGACCAAAACTGATACATCGGAACAATCCCCATATCTTTATTTTTAATGAATATCCACAGGTACTGATGTTGTCAGTTGTACTGTGCATCTCTATCTGGTTGTATGAGAAAAAAAATAATTCTCTATTAAGAAATGAATATTTACCATTTTTAGACACCTTTATGCAAAGTGACATACAACTGAGACATCAATTGGAGTTAATTGCCTTTCACAAAGAGCCACTGGATTTGACCCAGCAGTCTTCAGATTATAAGCACACCATTCTATTTGGCAGAGCCACACTTCACTGCACTGAAAACACCTTGAACAGAACATACTAACCGCTATTGTTTTTGTTTCCTAAATAATCTCAAATATGATTAAACTCATACCCTATCTACCATTGTACGTCATAAGACTTTCACACAGGGGGTGCAGGAGGTGAAGACTGACATTGATAACTGAGACTAAGAGAAACACGTGGTTCCATTGGACGTTTGCAGTGCTTGATGATGAATAGAAAAAGGTCGAAGATGTATAATAGAGTAAGCTGCAGTGCTGGTAGTCTCTTGTACTTGTCCCATTTCCAATATCCCAGCATTCTGTAACTTTCTAACCTGTCAGGAACGATGCATAGTGCAGGCAGGAATGGAAGGTGACAATCCACTTGTGGCTCCACAACAAAAACTAACATAACAAAAATGATCTACGAAAGGAAACTGCTTACACAGAGAACAGGCAGGGAATCAATCATAGCAAACAGAAGAACCAACATCAGGAAACATAGTGAGTAACTGCACAGGGAACAGAGCAGGATCAGGTACTTAAATACAAAGTAAACTTGGGCATACATGGTACAGGCGTAAAACATAATCAATTATTAACCAATCAACACAGGACAACTAGAAACAGAGCAGAATAATCAACAAGGACTGGCAAAATGGGCAACAGGTGAAACTAATAATTAAATCGAGGAACTCAGAAACTAGGGAACAGAATCCAAACAGTAGGGAAATAACAAAGACAGGCAACACACAACCAAGGGCACAAAGCAAAAAACCAAAACAGAATGGAAACCATAAAACACAGGAACTAGAAAAACTGATACACCAGGAAACAAATCTACTGAATACAAAGGTGGCTGGACTTGAACACACAACAGAGTGATTAATAGCTGCACGCTCAGCCCTTAGCACCACGCAGCAATCCACAGAGCTGGGGAAACACATGACGGACTTGAAGGACACAGGGAGGACAGGATGGCCAGCGACACCTGCTGGCCAAAAGAGGAAGAAACACAAAATGCTGGGGCAGATGGGTGCTGACCCTGACACAAACCAATATCATACCCAATCCTAAATATTTACAATATCATAGCTACATGTTAATCCCTGGTTTTCTGTCATTTCCACATCTATGCAATGATACCCTCCTTGCCACAAATGGCTGAAGTGGCACAGCAAAGACCGATAACCCAGGAATTACTAGTAAAAAAGCCCCATAGATTTGATAGAGCTACACCTTACAGCTACTGGCCTTATACCATGGTAGTAGGGGTCTTGCTTCTTGTTATGATTGATTGCTCTCAGACTACCTCTCTTTGTTGCTTCTCCAGTCTAATGAGAGTGTCAGTTTTTCTTATAATTGTTTGCACCAGTTCTCTCTCTCTCCCTTCCCAACTCCTGGCTACTTATTGTCAATGTGTGTCTGAAGCATGATCAGATCAAGCTTCAAGATCAACTTCAGATCATTGTAGGGTGAAGTGATGCTCTGCAGTATGGGAAGTGCAGAAAGAGACAAAAAGACAGTTTTTGGTCTTTTCCGGGCTACAAAGGAGGAATGAAACAGAATGCATTATCTCATTTGCCTCGTTTAGTGTCTTGTAAGGGGGCATCTCTGGAACAATCACTTGAGTGTTCAGGCCTCTCTATTTCTTGTCCATTTCTGTTTTCCTGTGACAGAACTGACCCCCCCACCCCCATTTCCTTCTCATGCCGTTCCATGCCCTCATGAGCATTTCCAGTCAGGGGGGTTCCAGAGAGATGAGGTAATAAACAAAGGATGCTAGTTTGCACTAATCCCATTCCAAAACCTGTACCACATCTGCACGGAAAATACACATCTACCTCTCTAAGGGAAGACATACCCTTATAGTCACGCTATGGCAAGTCAATATCCTTCTCTGGAAGGGAAGTCAGGTGACCAATCCTGGTTGTGGTTGGTGACTCTCTTCCTGTTTCATATCAGTGTCTGTGTTTTATATGGGTAGTAAATCTAGAGCAGAGTTTCACTTGTTGTTGGCTTAGATTTCCAGTTGTGCTCCATTGATAATTCTCACATGGTTTTATTCCCCAAGAAGCTCAGACACTGCAAAGGCTGACCACATGTATCTTTTTATAAAAAGATTTCATTTGGATACTTAATCTCCAGTATTGAGGGAAAACATTGTCAGAATAGTCCTGAATGTTACAAGTACTACACCTCTTGTCTCCCACCCATTGTTGACCATAACCAGACCTAACTGGAACAGAGTTGGTTACCCATGGTAACCCAAGTGGCGAGGAAGCATTTGTAAGGAATGGGCAGTAATCCTAGATCTCTTCTGCCACAAATCCCATTTCAACTACAGTTCAACTGCTACGCACTTAAAGCTTGGGCTCTTTTCCATGGTTTCACATTGGCCCAAAAAGAAAGCTGATTCGCAGACAGCAGAATGCAAACGAGCACTTCATCTTCCACAGTCCCAGTTCTTGCTATTAAAGAACAAAAGAGGGCTTTCTAATTCATTGCCCACTAACTGAACATGTCTGCAGAAAAATGTTTCCTTTCAAAGGTTGGTCTTGTCACAAACCCTCTACACCTTTGCTCTGTTTCTTATTTAGGGAAAAGAAAGAAATTCTTACCTTAACATATTCACCTCTGATGTCCATTGGCAGGTGGCTGGAAAGAAGAATATGTAAAACAAGCATTACAACTTGTTTTTTGAGAATTTCATTGAAACTGTTAGGAAGCCGCTATTCGTGTGTAGCTGCAAAGTGTTTAGTCAAATGTTTAGTGCATGTATAGATATATACACATATTGGTGTGTGGGTATGTTTGCATGTGCATGAATGAGCATCCGTGTGATCGCATGCACGTCTGTCTATGCAGTGTGCGTCATACAGGAAGCGATAATACTCAGTGGCTTTGAGATACCAAAAAAAAAAAAAAAATGGCAGGGACAGAATGTGCTGAAACTCCTGACCTCTGGCATCCATTGAAATTGCATGTAGGAAGTATTACGCAACATGCTGCTAAGACTCAAACAGCAAACGGTCGACAGCTGTTGGCCAGTTCTCACAACACCTAGCAACAGTTTCAATTACGGGTGCACCTCTTAGGCCACAGAGAAGGAAACGAACACAACTCATCGCCATTCCCCTCCCATCTCACACAAAGAAACACATTTCTGGAAAAACATGAGTCCAACGTCCTTGAGAGGAAAGCGACTTACAGCAAACAGCTACGTATAGTGCCTGTCTTCAAAGATCTGCATCACCAAGCAACACTAAACATTAAATTAACAACTCAGAGCTAAACATTCAAGAAGCTTTTCCTTTTTTCTTGTCAGCTCTCATGTATCAGGGGACATGCACATACAGTACCGTGCAAAAGTCTTAGGCAGTCAAATGACACAGAAAGCTATTTATCTGGGTAGGAAGTGTACATTTGCTTGAGTAATACAGTAATAACTAGTAAAAAGTTCTTCTGTTCTCCAAAAAGTTATTGATATCTAGTTGGATGGCTAGATCAAGTTCAGTGCCTTCAGGGCCACCCAGCCATTCCATGTATTTATTAAATTTCTCCATCAGCTTGCTTGATTAATTAACTTAAGTAGTTAAAAAAGTCAATGAGATATTGATTAGCTATATGAGATGTGCCAATGGTCAAGTCAAAAACTACATGGGTGTGTTGTATGGTTGCTGGAAATAATAGGGTAATTTTAGCAGAGATTTTGGAACGGCTAAGCTAACACACTTTGACATAGCATAGTTTTACACCAACACAACGATCATTTAAACATCATTTTCTTTGGCTGCCTAAGACTCTTGCATGGTACTGCATACAGACCTCACAGTAGATTCTTCCAAAGAAAATGATTCATCTGAAAATGGCGCTGCCCTGAAATATAATCCTTGCTTTCTGCTACTTTGCTGTTTTCTATGTGAAAACAATATCTGTACATTCGTGCATATACCGAATGGATATTCTCCTCCGTTTTCTCTGTTTCCATTCCCTCTAATGACATCTTGCCCTCCATCAGCCTTTCTAGTCTTGAGTGATCCAGAGAGGGCACAAGAAACAAAGACACCTTGTTCTTCTCTGTATTCTTCTCAAACCCACAACAACTACGTATCGCAGATGTCAAAAGCCAAGGGCTACACCCTCCATGCATCCACAGCTCTAACTCTGCATTAAGATCGGTAATCTCGAGGCAGGCATGCAGTGAATGGATTTCAAAATACTATATATGAGGAAGGGACACTTTGTCAATGAGAAACATAATCTGCTAACCCTCAATTGAACATGCATGTAATCCAAAAGAACTGAATAATGTTTCATCAAATGGACTGGCAGTCATTTACAAAATGCCAGATAATCACATTTTTAAAAAAATATGAAAAAATAAATGCAAAAATACACTTTGGCAGTCACTGGGAGAATTGTCCCCTGTGGCCATTCAAAGACTATTAAGTAATACTTGTTGAAAATAATAATATCTATATGCACACAAATCACCCATTAAAGTACCTCCCAGTGCAGCGTTTCCCAAGTCTGTCATTAACATCCTATCCTCATGTGCCCAGCATCCTGTCCATTCCTATTTTTCTAGAATATTCCTAGCTGCTTTCTTGATTTGCTGCCTTTCTGTTTTTTTGTAATAAAATCCCATGCAATGCACTTTAAAATACACAAAAAAACATATTAATAATGCTACTAAATGTGACATAATTAAGTCTGTTCTGGAAAACATACCAGGTAATGTATTTACATAAAATATTAATTTCAATTAATATTTCTAATCTACTTTCTAATCATGGGTGGCCTGTCGTTGCCAGTGTTCAGACAGTCATTACACAACAGCTATGTAGGTTGTGGTGCCTTGTAAAATGCCTGGCAGTTGATCGAAGAACATTCAGGTTCAGCTGTCCCACACCTCCTAAACACTGCCATAGATACCACACACCACACACAGGGTAACAGGCATGTTGCATACACACATTCACTTCTTTAGGAATCTTATTCCTAAAACCACAAACTTTCTCAAGTTACATAGGGGACATTCAAACAGAAAAAAAGGGGGGGGGGGGGGGTGACATAAACAGGGCAGACAAATTCAGCTTAATTACCAGCTGGACTGCCATAATTTTCAGGATTCCTAGTGATGCAGGCTGATGTCATTCCTAGTAAGATTCACACAGTGGCACCATCAGAGATACTACAAAGTAAAATGCATGGCAAACTGTACTCTGTATTAGAATAGTCAGCTACAGTATCCCCTAACCTACAAAAAACACATTGACCCTCATGAGCTGACAGAATCTCAAGCACCATTCATCTTCAGTGCATTCCAGCCTGGATTCCTCTGCACTGGGCAGGAATTCCTGTTGAGGACTTACAGCTGTAGGAGTCCTTTGGGTCCCTCTCACTGCAACCCGAAAGCTGCCTCTTGAAGGGCACAGGTCATATCCTTCTCTAGCGGGGTGGAGCTTACAGGCTGCTTCAACATAAATCAACCAGTCTTATTGTCCCAAGACTTACACCAAAATCTATCATGGGGATTTCATGGGGATCCGTCAAAAAAAAAAGCATCAAAGTCATTTTCAACAATGCTACTTAATTCTTTCATGTGAGGTACCACTTTGTGCGTCAGCAGTCCAAGAAAAAAAATCATCGTAAGAGACAACATTCTATGATACAAAACATCGGATTATGGCTTGCTATGGAACAACGTTTTAGCTCATCCTGTAACAGCCCTCCACCCAAGAGCATACAAACAAATAGGCGTCCTCCTAATCCCTGGTATAGAAAAAATAAATTATAACTGAAAACGATTTTTTCCCCAGAGCTGCACGATTTCAACCCTAACTTGGCAGCGAGAGAAGGACGTCATTCTCTGGAAAGGACAACTTCCACGGCTCTAAACCTTAAATGCGTTGCATAACATCTCGTCCCCACCCTAGATCACAGGCGAACAGCACTAGCATCATGTTTTAATATACCCATTATGTGCCGCTATAACCTACATGTATTGTGAGGAAATAACCTTTCTTTTAAAAGTTTTTAACTTCTTATTTTCATTATCGTGAATTGGGTTATCACACTAAAAAAGTGAATGTTTCTTTCAGGTAAAGTGTATTATTTTATAAGTGCAAAATGTTTTTGCTATCAGATTACATGCTACTACTATACACAAGTGAAGCATATTAGAGCGAACTTTCCCATACAAGCAACGTAAGTCTACCGGACCAGATCGGTTGGTTTCAGTCGCTACAGGTGATCGACGTTTTGAACCGATACACGCTTCTCGAAGTAAATTTGCGTCTTATGTAAAACAGCCCTACCTCAAACCCATCGTCCAGACAAACAGACTTTCTGCTTTTCCCCGGCTCCTGTAGCGGGTGTCCTCCTCCCTTCCCGACCCACCGGCGTTGCTCGCGTTCAGTCGCGCACAGTTGACAGCAGAAGATGAGCGCTTCTGTCCACCGGGATACCGCAGCCGCAGTCCCCACCCGAACCTTCAGCGCGAAGGCAGTGCTTTGTGGGAGGGATTTTTACGCCCGCCACTACAACTTCAGTACCCATGAGAAATACCAAGTACAGTGCCGTCTGTCTAAAGTTACTCTCAAGAAACCTTAATATGTGGAATGAACTGTCAATTACTTTTCTAATTCAGCACTGGGGCGCTTCAGGGGAAACGCTCTTTGGATTATTTTGACGATTTTGTTTATTATTTATTAATTTGGTTAAGAATTCGCTATAAACATTCCCTGATGTTTTATCTCTAACATCTGCACACTTAAGTTTCGGTCTGGTGAAAAATAACAAGATTCTGACATTGTCTGCTTGGGGAATAATTTGGGATGCTGCAGATAGGTTGTAAACAGCATTTAAAAATATGCGGTTATTCTACATCTTCTGCTCATTCTTTCATACAGAAAGTGAGGAAGATGATCCGAGATAACCGGTGGGAAGATGGATGGATGGAAAATGAATAAATGTTATCCATCCATCCTCTAACCGATTACCTTGGCACGAATGGTATGTTAAATTCGTTTAGAAAAAACGTTAAAAACAGATACCACAGCGTTTAAAAACTCACTGTAAATGATGCCATAATTAGAGTTATACACAAAAACTGCCAATTTCAACCAAAATGAACAGCACCTATATTGTGTAGAAAATCTGGGTCAGACGCACAATTTTTATACCTCCCAAGAGTTGGGAGAATATCCAGTAAAATACAGTGATTACTCAGAAAATGGAGACACCTAGCAGCTGTTAAACTAAATGCAGACTAAATTTAAAGAGACCAGTTATCTCCCTCTGTAAGTTTACTTTCATTGCCTAGCAAGTATCTCCACTCAAAGGCCAAAAATGAAATCAGACTAGCAGTTTCAAATAAACCCCGGTGATAAAATGCACACCCGGAGCGTCACTGGAGATCTATGGAAAGCAAGGCTAGACCTTTACTAAGGGAGTCTGATTTTAATGGAAATGGATACAATAACAATAATAAGAATATATCTGATATTTAAAATAATTAGTATACAACTGTTTTGAGGGGGCTAAAGAACATCCTCGATTCTCTATGTAACAATGGACAGAGTTTTTGAAAAGACAAAATATGTTAATTTACATCAAAAAGTCTATTATGAAAGCATTTTTTATAAATAACTCAAAATATTGACCCCAAAGAAGTATTATTTGCTTATAAAATATCTAATAATCAAACCGAATAATGGAAATCAGTGACATGTAGTGTGTGTGTGTGTGTGTGTGTGTGTGTGTGTGTGCATGTATGTGTGTGTATGTGTGTCTGAGGGTCATTGGTGAAGCATCCTTGCCCGGTCTGAGTCAATGTCATTCAACAATCTGCCTGCCATGTGGGGAACAGCTCTACTTAATTGTCAGATAGACCTTTTTCATGTGAAATGAACCTGTGATATCTGCACATTACAGACATTTTAATGCAAGATATCATGTAAGAAGAAGATAATGAGGAATGCAAGAAACGGCACGGTGGTCCTGATTTTATTCTGAGTGGCCTTATTCAGCAAAACGCCCAGTAAGAAACTGAGGGACATAAAATAGATAATAATGACATGAAACAGCTCCCTAGCATGGTGATGCATGCAGTTACACTCATCACCTACCCAAACTTTCATAGTATATTTGAATATGTGCTGATACTTATACATAAAGTAACGAGTAACTTGTAACGAGTAACTTGTCTGTAACTTTCTGTCTGTTACTTATACATAAAGTAACAAGTCAGCTTACAGGGAAGAGGTCGAGAACCTGGAGCGCTGGAGCCGAGACAACAACCTCGCCCTGAACTCCAAAAAGACAAAAGAGCTGATACTGGACTTCAGGAGCCGGAAACACATGGACCACCACCCCTTCAGCGTCAGTGTCGAGAGAGTGGAGGTGGTCCAGAGCTTCCGATTTCTCGGGGTTCATATCAGCCGAGACCTGTCATGGACCAGGAACACAAATGCAGTAACAAAAAAGGGACTTCAGAGGCTTCACTTCCTGCGGAGCCTGAAGACAGCACGTCTTCCACGGCAGCTCCTGGTGCACTTCTACAGGTGCACCATAGAGTCAGTGATCACACACTGCATCACTGCGTGGTACTCTGGCTGCACCTTGGAGAACAGGAAGACCCTGCAGCGCATCATCAAGTCAGCCCAGTGGATCACTGGCACCCAGCTTCCATCACTGGAAGAAATCCGTCACACCCGGTGCAGCCGCAGAGCTGAGAAAATAAGCAAGGACCCAACACCCACCCTGGACACTCACTCTTTACACCCCCGCCATCCGGTAGACGGTACAGAACCCTGTACACACGCACGACCCGGCTGAGGAACAGCTTTTACCCTACAGCTATCACACTACTGAATTCAAAGCACTCATCTCTAACATTCTGAATATTTGTGTACCGGTACTTAAACCTGCTGTATAACTCTAATTCTACCTCTGCAAAATTGCTCCTGCACTGCACTTTATACAAAATCATAACCATTCATGAGTATGATTATATTGACCTAATTTACCAGCACCTTATTCACTGTGAATGTGTGTATGTGTGTGTGTGTGTGTGTGTACATATTTTATTCTTTGGATTTTATTGTAATTTTTTACTGTGTATCTGCTGATGCGCTCCAAACAAAATCTCATTGTACTTGTACAATGACAATAAAGCATCTTTATCTTTCTCTTTATAAAGAACACATATCAGATGTTATTGTCTTATTCGCTCATGGGAGTTTTACTTACACAAAGTTGGTCTGATGGCAGAAAGAAAAATGATTGGTTCAGAGAGATAACCAATAAGATTGTAGAGGAGGTGGGTCCAAGCAACTAGAGGCGGAACCATGACATCTGATTGGTTAGTGACACTTCCTCTTGTTGCTTGTTGGATTTTATTTGGGGTGTGAAAAGCATGTAAGGAGACACCTTCAGTAAAGAATCATCATTGTAACAAATATCACCTGGTTAAAGGCTTTGACTCCTGGGCTTCACCCAGCCGACTTTCAGACTGTTCTGGAAGAGCGCTGCTGGTCCCATGTGGACTGGTCCCCATTGTGCTGGGTTGGCCGTGGTCCTCTAGCTCTGCCAAGGGTGGCATCTTCTGAGCCTCAGGGGACAGAGGACACTGCTGCGACGTGCTGGCTGTTTCATCTTCTAGTAGCCCTGAGCTCTGCTTAATCTCAGCCTGCAAAGCTCTGGTAGCTACAGGATGTGGTTTTACAGCAGTATCCAAGAAAGAGGCTTCATCTCCGGATGACACACCCTGGAGAGACAGCACACTCAGCAGGGGCGAGTCCGCAACATAGTCGCCCTTCCGTGTCTCCAGTACAGCTCCACTTCCAGTCTTCTTGGATTTTTTGCTTTTCTTCTCTTTGCGGGAGAGACGGGGTATAGTGGCCAAATGTGAGCATGCTTCACTGGAGTGGATGTGGCTGGGACTGTGGGGACATACTTCTGTGTCATCGCTGTACCTCTTTGCTAGCAGGTTCAGACCCTGACTCCCATCATGCTTTGCAGCAGTCTTGGAGGATCTGTTTTCTAATGAAAGACTGTGTGCAAGGTTCGATAGACTTCCAAACCATTTAAAACCTATGACATAAAAGACAGGGGTAATATAACTGAGATTTGTGCATACATGTATACAAAATTTCATAGTTAATTATTACATCTTCTTAAGACCTTGTTCATACTTTACTTTTCCATGTGCGCTTTCAGCCCGCAGATGATCACGCATGCAGAAGCTTGTGCTCACAGAAAGTCACAGTTGGTGCTTGAACACAGCAGTGATATTCCACCAGACCAGCAGAGGGCAGAAGTATTGCAACAAACACAAATACCAGCAGTGTAATGAAAAGAGTAAACTTTTTATGGACAGTTTTAAAGTTACTAATCACTAGGCTTGGGCAGTATTATGGTAATATGGCTTACCACAGTATTCTGAAATCCTTACAACAAAATTAGTACTTGACAAGATTTGGATAGTGCTACTTTTGAAAATACTGTATACTGTATATTGTATATTGAACAGTATGAAAAATTTGATTTGTGGGTACCTCCGCAGTCCGCACCTCATCATACAGCTGTTCACCATAACTATCACAACACCACGTTGCAGCAGCTATTCTTCCTCTGCTCTTTCTTGTTTGACCACTCCTCTGTTAAAGCAAGTGCTGCCACCTACTGGAAACACCTGGTCAATTTCCTTGCACATGTGCAGTCGACACGCACCGACCCACATGATTTCCACCAGCTACATGCACAACATCCGGCACAAACCGCTGATGAAGAAATTTAAGTGGCATCCTTGCGCAGAACCAAAAGCGCATGTGGAAAATTAAAATATGAAGTGACTTAACTTCTGGTGTTCTCAATGATCAGTTTAACTGGGCTGTAAGTAGACCACTGCTTAAAAAAAAAACTTAAAAATTAGAACTAATGTTCTTAACAGTTCCACCAAAGCCGCAGCATTGAAAAAACCTCATCAATGATGTCAACATTGTCATGTTGTCAGCTTGTGCTTCTAGATTGCAGTCCTGCCTTTGACATCATCAACCCTTCAGTTCTGTTAAACAAGTTAGTCCTTAAGCAGTTAGCCTCCTAACTGAACAATCATCACAAGATATCAAACATCCTTGTAAGTCTTACTTGATTGCTGATTTGGGCACCCACTAAATAAATAAATGCAAAATAAAATATATGACAACAAAACTGCATCCTCTATATTACATATGAAATATGTATAAGTGTTGGAACTTTAATTCTTTGCTCTTTACATATTGCCAACAGGGAGGATTATGCGAAAGAACATAACTTTTACTCCTCTGCTAACAATACACAAAAGCATCTCTTGATATAACCAAATCGCCACCATCATCTATCAGGAAGATGTTTTAAGGAAGTAAAGCGATGGACAAGTCATAGTAAAACAGAAGTCCTCCATCTACACACTGGCAATTCCCTTCACAATGCATACATATTTATCACTGAGGGCTACGATTCACTTTCGCTGAATCACCTGTAATTTTGGTGCCATTTCTGATGACGACCTGTGGATTAATTGTTATATATATAGTATATTGTGACAGAGAGCCTGGGAAATGGGGACTCAGATGTGGAAAACATTAATTGGAGCAGGCAAAAAATCAGAGTCATACAGTCTGGGTCAGAAACCAACACGGGCAGACCGAAACCACCACGGGCAGACCAAATTCAAATCCTAAGACAAGAAGGTGACCGCGAGACAGATGTTGGTCTGGTAAGGTGCAAGCAACAGTCAGAACAGGGCAAACTTGTAATCTAGGATCTATAATCTAGAATCAAGAACCAGAAGACAGAGGTCAAAGGCTCAGATATTAAAAATATCATGTCGGTCAGGGGTTCCGGGGGGAGGGGGAACTATGGTAGCCAATGACCCTACTGCAACACTCTACCCTCAGCAAGCATTAACTTACTGCAGATTCGAAATGGAGAAGCAAGATTTTTTACAAGAAGGAGTAGATACAACCACAACAGAGTCATTCTAATAGCTCTCCTTCAGCTTCTGGTTATGTAGAGCATAGACTTATTTTTTTCTGCTTACTAATAGGACACTCAGATCCTCATTTGCCTAACTGAGCTAATCAAAGAACTGTGCAGTCGAGAATCTGCACTGAGGTCATGGAATTTAGACCTTCTTGTAATTCTCACATAAGACCATTGGCAGTAAAGCCCTCTGCCATTGGGCTCCTAATCTATGAAACAATCTGTCAGCTTATGTGAGGGATTCCCCCTTGGGCTCACTATTTAAATCTGTATTTCTTGCTATCCTTACATACATAAAGCTGCTGGTGTTGCTACTGCTCAGTAGTGGACTGAAGTGCAGAACGACAGGTGGCGTAATGGTGCATAGACAGCGTGACAGAAGACAGGGCTACACAAAGCCACAGCCTACGTTCTGGCCTGCTCACTGCCAGCCTGCCTGGGATGGTTGGGCAGCCAGCTGACTTTGGGCATCCAGAGGTTTTCCCCTCTTATCCATTTACATAATTGTTACCCTGAACTACAGTGACACAGCAAGTGCCACTGTTGTTTGACTCTGGTCGAAGTGCATTTGACCACCCTTATTGAGAAAGGTGCTACCTAAAAAACATACCAAACCTAATCGGCACATATAGTTTTATTTAACTATCAAAGAGTGGCATTTTAATCAAACAGCTATTAATTTTGCTATGATGGAGTCAATATTTTAGGAACTCCAAGAAAGTAAACAAGAATTATTTTAGGCCAGAGATGTGAGAAAATGCACTTGCCGTTGTCTTAAGTCCAAGAATAGTATTAATGACAAAATATGATCTAGTAAGTTGAGTGTAAAGTCGCCCATATTGGATAATGCTTCCCATGTTGGAATTATTTTATGCTTTTTATACAGTTATAATCAAACGTCTTGTTTATGTCACTTAAAAGTAGCATGTAGCCCAAGAGTCACAGTACAGTTCCCCTCTATTAGAAAGGCGTGCGATGCATGACAGCCCGTTAAACACCCTGTTCCTATTCGAGGTGGACCTTGCTCACTCGTACAGGGAACAGAAATGTCACTCCATGAACTTCACGGTCCATTGCCCAGCCGGTCTCCCTGTTCCCTTTGGACATATCTATACATATCATGCTTAAATAACTGCTCTTGGGTAAGTTATTCCTATTGTATCTGGCACCTATGAAACACCCATTGAGACTGAATACTACCAAGGGGCACAAGAGCAACGTAGCTGCCTTTTTCAGTTACCCTCCATAAATAAGTATTGTTTACCAGCAAGTCATTGCCTGTCAGCACAAACACTTACTCAGTTTGCGTTTGCTCATGGTGCCGCGGCCTTGGTGGTTGTTTAATTATCCGGTGTTCCTGGGTTGTAGACTGAAGACCGCACTCATTTGAGGAGTCCAGAGGAGTGTAATGACTGTGGCAATACTTCCCTTATTACTAGCAGGGAGGAAATGTGACACGTGTTTCACAGCAGAAAATTTAGCAACTCATTACCGAGATAGATGCGCCCAGCCTGGCCGAACCCAGCTAATGTCTCTATGTTCTACACCATCCCCTTGTCCTCCATTTCAAAAATAACCCGCTCCTGCCATCTTCCCTCTTAAACATCCTCTTTTTATAATTCTACCCTCCCAATTTTTTTGCATAAAGTCAGTCGTCATTCATCAATATCTTGGGGAATAGACTTTTCAATCTATTTATTCAGTGTACACCGGACAACAAAATAGAACAAAATGGCTATTGTAGTTGAATGGCAGAATATACCCTTGATGACCACTCTTCTAAATTAGACTGTAACTGCTGGGTCAAAATTGAACTCGGGGCAATGTATGTGTTCTCGTAGTGTACACCTAAAAAAAACTTAAAGGGGAGGAGTTTCACTTTTTCTAACAGGGAGATTTCACTGCTCATAAAGGTGTCTTTTTTAACCAAAGCACTGCAATGGGGTCAAGGTGGAATATGCTTGCCTAGGCTGTAGCCTAGGGGTCCAGAATGAACGGTGGGCCCTATTGGCTATCTACTTTTTTAAAATTATGTTTAAAGTGATCCTTTATTGGTTGTTTATTTGTTTGTGAGTTGGTGATTGGTTAAAACTGAATGGCGAGACCAGTTCTGAAGGGATCAATGAGAATCTTTTTTGCCAGGAAAGCACAGAGGAAAACATTGTAATAGTAAAAACTTATTTTATAGGTAAAAATAATTGCAAACCTTTGTCACCTAATGTGGAAGTGATTAACTGACTACAAAAATGTTTTAACCTATAGAAAAAATGCATGTCACATCTCAACTTCAACAGCAACAGGCAGACTGTTATTTCGTTAATTCAGAAACGAGATACCTGCACTATATGGACAAAAGTATTAAGACATCTGGCCATTATGCCCACAGGAACATCCCATCCTAAATCCACAGGCAATAATATGAAGT